TATATATATATACGTGTGTGTATATATTATTGTTATGGTGTTACCTATATTTTTCCTTATCGATAAAATATGTGGCTGCTATCACTTTATTATTTTATATTGTATATTTCACACATAATTTGACAAGTCGGTTGGGTGGCAACATATATATTATTGATATTATGTAGTAAATTATATGTCACTGAAACATATTATTACGAGTTGTGCGTTATTGGCAAGGTCAATAACCATGAAATACGTGTCTTATAAATGTAGTAACCATCGCAGATACTAATATACCTAGGTATAAATATAAATWGGTAGTGATTTTTCAATTTTTCCTAAGCCCGACAACTATCATGGCCACTAGCTGTTCGTAGGGGGTACGGTTGGTGTATTGTATTTGTGGCAAGGGTTTCGCTGCTAAAWTTCCCTGGTGGTCACCCATCCGGGAGCTATCAATGCCAGTCGGTGCGTACACTCAGAGCACGTACGAAACTTAGTGTTGTAGACATCGGACCACATCAAGCGTTTTTAAATTTGATTTGCAACAAAAATAATGTACATATAATTTATAACACTATTCTTTGTTAAGGTACGTATAAAAAATTCTTGCAAATCAATTATAATAAAAATGTTATAATTTAGCTAAACATAATATATAACGATGTCGTCGTATAATAAATTAAAAATATAATAAATAAACTCTAAAAACGCAATTATAATAATCTGATGTAGGTACTGTACAATTATTTTGTTTAGCGCTTACATAATTTAACAATAAATATATTATAAATAATGCATTAAATAATAAATATGTTAGGCATACCGTGATAAGTGCGAAAAAATTTACATTTATATAATGGCTCTAAAAATTATTATTAACTCCGTCGGTCGATGGAGTGGGCGTCGGGGGGGTTTCCACTGGAGGTGGAGGGCCGTATGCCATGGCGTGGGCCCTCAGCGAACGGCCGTGTGGGCCGTGACCGCCCGCAGACGGCACGTTGATCACTTCGTAAGTTGTACCGCTGTGGCTGCCGCTGCCCGACGCCAGTTTCTTCAGCGCCAGGATGGCGGACAGCATGAGCGCCAGCATGCTGGTCATCAGCGCCTTACCGCTCATCATGGCCAGCGCGCCCAGCTTGATCGGCAACAGCGTGCCGGCCACCATCATAGCGCCCATAAGCAACGGTCCCGCGTACTTGTCTTTCTTGCCTCGCGCTGAAATTATCACAAAAAAACGGTTTATTAGTCATTTTTACTTATTAGGATTTCACGACGAATCTATAATATCAACGTGGCATATCGAAAAATCGAAAACCTAAATATCTAGAATTTTTTTATACTTTTTTTTAACCTTGAACACTTGTTATTGAGTTCTATTTGAGGTATGCATACGTAACTCGAAAATATGTATTCAGTTCGATTTATTTGTGTTTTATATTTCCCTCGCGATTTGAGCTATCGAGACTTGACTTAATATTATTATCGTTGTTGTTTCTTGTTGATTTAGGTACGACTTCTAATGGTGAGAACATTCATAGTGGCTTATGTTTTCCGAATATAATGGCAAGAGCAATTTTTCCTATAGGTGTTAGTGTGGTTCATAGTAGTATATTCAGTATAGTTTATATACGTTCATTACAAAAAAAAATTTATAATGACTAATTAAAGTCAAATTTATTACCAAATTTAGATATTTTACTAACTCAAAAATACTCAATCAAAAACCGTGATTCTCGCGTTCTACGTGTAATTTGGTTTTATGATTTGTTAAATGCTAAAAATACAAGAGATAATTTTAATCTAATAGATGTATTATATTTAAAATTCTTTGTAATATTATCTACCTATTATTATTATACTCGAATAATTTGAAAGTTTGCAGACATTGGTAAAATAGATCATAAGTAGTTATAAACGTTTTGCTGTATTATAACATTATAACTAATGACTAGAGCTTGGATTTAAATGCCTTAAAAACTTTATAAAAATTGTGAAAACCCTTAAAAAATTAATCTGAACCACAATAATGTTTTTAAAATATCTGCCGAAAATTGTTTCAACGATTCATGAGCAAATGAAAATACGGAATGCACGAAATAAACGCGATTTCCACAATGTAACACTAACTAACTGATCAATTAGTTTTGTTACTGCAAGGTTTGAGTCTCGGACGCTATATTACCATTAATCGTACGGTAGACAGAAAAATACGACATAGATAAGTATCGAAATCATAAACATAGTACATTCAATAACCAAATAATCGGAAAAATATGTCTTGAGCTAATATACTGAATTAGGTACTAACAACTAATTAAGTTAAATCTATACGTATATTGCAATACACGTTGATATGGTGATATTCATAAAAAAGTTTCATTTTTAATCATCAGATGACGTAAGAAACGGAATTTGTAATTGAAAAACATTGGCTGGGACTTCAGAAAAAATGATGAATTTCGCATTCGAATTCGGTCCGTATTGCTCACGAGTCGTGACTTAAAAAAAATATTGTAAAACTATTAATCGATTTGGATATTACCTTCGATGAGAGTGCTTTTTAGCGATTCCAACAGGTGGGTGGGCGCCCGTACGCTGATTGCACGGGACCTTACGAACGCCGTCAACGAGTCGACGAGCGCCGACTCACCGCCGCCTGGTTCTGAAGCGGCGTCGATGTCAGCGGACGTCTGCGGCGGCGGCGGTGATGGCGATGGCTGTGGCTGTGGCGGCGGGTCCGATTCGGCGGCCGCGTTTTTGACAAGCGTCACGCAACCGGGAACCAGGTCGATGGGATCTGCGGACCGGGCCAGGGCGTCGACGCCGGCGGCCGCGGCGTGCATCAGACAATCGACGGTGTCTGGGGAGGTCGAGCACTGAGACGCCGCCTTGACCACGGCCAACCTGACGACGGCTGCACCCGCGACCTGCAAGCACGTTGTCTGCAGCAATATCAGCGACGCGACAACGACGCACAAACACCTAGACCGGACCGTTGCGGACATCAGCGACAACGACGACGACATGTTTGTTCGTTTATTTGTTTGATTGTTTGTTTGTTTGTTTGCTTGTCTGTTCGTTACTGTCCGTCCGGCTTTACGTTAACGTATGACCGGTATTTGTGCGGTACGTCCATATTTATGTGACGACGACCGCGGCCGTTTTTTTTTTTTTGTTCTCGTCCGTCGACGAAGTGCACCTAATCATCACTCTGTATTTGCTGTCGCCGGGCCGCGATAATCGCTTGCCGCGTCTCAGCGACCGCAAACAAAAACGGAAGAGAGAGAGACAGACAGACACGCAGGCGGATTATTGACGACAGAAAAAAAAACGTATCCGTCCCTCCGTGACGACCGATGCGAAAGTACAATAATAATAATAATAATAACATTTGATAAACTGCACCCGCGGTAATAGTGAATCGATATCGTACAACTATAACGTTGCACTTGAATATTGTTGTATCGTCCCGAGTCATCTACTCAGCCATAATACTAAGAAATGGAGCAGTATAACCCGATAACTCAAATGTTCATAACATTAAACATAAATGTGTTTATATTGAAATCAACCTTCACCATTTAAAAATTAACTCTTCTACAATGAATTAAATCACAATCAACAAACGATACAAAAAAACTGTATCAAGAAAAAAATTTGTAAAATGTGCTATTTTATAAGATAGGGTTAATAATGAAACAAAGCTATGTATCAATTTGTAAATTTACGTTTTTGATACTCAAAAATGTGTATTTTTAAAAAATATTTATATCACACGTAAAAGCGTGTACTGTTTTACTCTTTTATTGAATATATTAACGATKATTTAATTGGTGTAAACGATAGGAAATACTTTTGAATATTGAATATGCCGTCGCCCATCGTACATTAAACAAATAATATTTACAATTCAGCTACAGTTAGATGTATTGCTTGCATGCAGGTATCTTTAACTATACACATTTTACAAGCTGCCATCGTTTGACAACGTACAACTATTATATTTATTTTTATTTAATCTGTTTCAAAAAAGAACAATAAGAACAACTAAGGTAATATATAGTAATAAAATAAAAAAATTAATTAAAAAAACTATAATATAGATATAACAGAGCGTAGAAGCCTCCCAGTGGAGGTACTACAATATAAATATACCTAGTATAATTATTAAATTTATCACATTGCGAAGTCGATAACAGTAGGTTAAATTTATTTTGAATTGGACACCCGTGAAAGTTTGCAAGTCAATTAGATCACTCCGATATCGTCACGTGTGCGGTTAAAACGATGTGTAATGTTTGATTGGTATATGCGATATTATTATAATAGAAAATTATTGGTTTTCTTTTACTATATCTTTTTCTTCTTTAATATGTCAGTGAAAATCATATAATGCACACCACTATTTATAATATATGTTATACATAATATTGTTTTCACATATAGCAGCGCTGCAGGTTGTGATTGAGACTATAACATTCTAAAATAAAGTTTTTGTGGGAAGTAGTTCTGCTATATAGGAACTTACTAAAGTGTACCACGTTAAAGTGTAGGTCATGAGATAAAAAAAAAATGTGATAAAAATGGATGTGTTAAATTTGAATTCGATAATAAACCGATGTAAACAAATTGAAAAAAGATGGGAAAAGACTATAATTGAACTGAATAAGACTATTTATGGATATTATTTTATTTTTCAATTAGTAATACTACCAGTAGACTTATTTCAGACACAAAATATAATTGACAATTTAATAATTACTATTATTATTGTTACAACATTTCTAAGCTGTAGTTATTAATTCATATTAAAAACAATTTGAAACAGCTTAAAATTTATCCAAAAAAAATATTATAATATGTTAATTTTTTTAAATAATGATTAATATGCACAGTGGAAAAATTATACAAAGCATAATTTTACAAAATACCTATACCTACTAATTTTATCAAAATCTGAATTTAATTTGTGTATAAAAATATTACGTATGTTTTTATTTTCAACATTTTTTAAATTGTTACAAAACAATTATTCGTGTAGAACATTGTATTACCTACATTTTAAATCATTCAGAAATCAATAATTGGTATACTAATAATTGATCAAAATAATTTAAAATATTAAATGCCAAAAAACAAAGGTTAACAGTAATATTAGTATAGGTGTTCTGAAAATTTTTTTGTAATGTTACTTAAATCGTCAATTAAAATGCTTTATGGTTTACAAATAACTTTTATTTTAATTTATAGTACCTGACAAAATGTATGATGAATCTTTTGTCATACAAACTTTTGTTGTTAGTGTTAAATTAAAAATTATATGTACCTATCATAAAAAAACAAAATATTAAAATTTTTTTTTTGGAAATTGATGAATTTTGTGAAAATTTTAACTTAAACATATAGAAAAAACAAGTTTATTGACTATTTTTAATTTCAATAAAAACTAATAATGAGGAACCTTGTATTCAATTATACATAGTTTGTCTTAAATTAATCGAAATAAAAAGTTTAAATTATTCTATAAATAGAATAAAATAACCGAAATATTATGACATTTATATGATTTCTCACGTCTATAAATAATGATGCGAATATTTGTTGAAAATTTTGAAATGTTTTTTTTTGAATTACAACAATAATTAATAGTAAAATTTTGTTATAAACGGATTTTTCATAGAAATTTACTCGATTGGATTTTTGTTTTCACAGATTTTTTTTTTTAATAAACAACTATCCGCGTCGTCTATGGCCATTGGATGTAACAGTACATTATCTATTAGTATATTTACATATTACATTAATATTTAAAAATATATACAGAGTAATTTAGTATTTAAAACAAGCCAAAGTAGTAATAATTAGGAGTTAAGTGATTAGTATTATTTACAATTTACAGTTTGTTTATAAGATTCRTTTGTTTGAGAAATTGTATGATCTTGTGTATATTGTTGGGGTCCGGGTTGAGTGCTTCRGCRAGGTGGTTKGATATTTGATATAGCCTTCTTTCTTTGTCGTATATTCTGCATTCGGTTAAGATGTGTTTCACAGTAAGTAGTGTTCCGCAACATGTGCAAACTGGGGGGGTCTTCCTTCTTCATTAAGTGGGAGTGTGTAAGGTGGGTGTGGCCAATTCTGAGACGGTTTATAGAGGTCTCGTGTTTTCTTGAGGTGTTATCTGGAGAAGGATACGATAAGGCGGATCTCTTGATTTCGTTAAGATGTTTTCACAGATTTTTTGAAAGCTATTGGGAATTATTAGTTTTAACCCATCAAAGTAGCAACTATTATTTAATTGTCTGCTATATACAAAAAATATTTTCTAATTTAAATAGTGAGGACATAGTCTTAAATACACATTATAAAAAAACCAATATATGCATAATATTATTATGTTCTTATTTATCCGCATAAAATCTAAAATTTTCATAACACTAGGTATCATTTTTTGGTATTATTAATATATATATATATATATATATGACCTATGTCACCGAGGGTATATTTCGTTTAGTTAAAAAAATATATATTTAGATATATAGATATATTTTTTTTTATGAAATAAAATAGGCAAATATTATATTTATCGTTCTTTTTATTTCTTAATAATTATATACGAATAAATTTTGTATTATTCTGTGTAATTGGCAACTATAAGTACTTTAGCAGTACGTAATAATATTTTATTTCATTATTTTTATTCTTTGACAGTGCATAGACAACGACAATCCAACGAAACTAATGACATTTCATTCAGAATTGAAAGTGTCATTATTATAGAAACCAACTTCGCAAATAATAAATCTCAGGGCAAATATTTCATAATCAAAAATATATTTTGCTCAGCATTTATAAAAATCGGAAAAATTTTGTGAAAATTGTGTAGCCAGGAACATAATTTGCGGTTTAATATTAATTTAAAGAAATAAAACGTAAATCACGAAAGATTTCGCGCAACAAAAAACTTACATTCAATTGTGCATAATATTATTAAATTGCAACATTACTATAATCCGAGTATGAAAATTTACGCCTTGTACTTCCGAAATGCAACAGCTTTCTCAGCAATGTGAGACGTTTTATCTTAGATATACTAACAGGTGTTTTATAGACAATTCTTTATGTACTATCTAATAATTATGATTATACATACATGATACATGGGTAAAATACTTTTACTTTAATAGTTTTAAGGCATTGCAATAAATAGATAAAATTTTAACAGTAAGATAATAATTTCTTTGTTATTAAATATATTAACCAAGTTGAGATTTTTAAAGTTAAAAACAAACATTTTAAATTAAATTATAAACTAAATGTTTAAAAAAGTACATTGTGTAACGAATGACAACGTCGGTTCATATGATAACAAAAAAAAAATATATACATTTTAATTATTGAAATGTCGACAAAAATAATATATTCCTTTATAACACTCATTTTATAATATAATATGAAATATGAAGCAGAATTCAATTCAATTTATATAATAATCAAAAGTGTTATAAATGTTTTTGATAAATTAATACAATCTAACACTCAATTAAAACAAATTTTATAATATTGTCATTGTTTGGTTCAATATTATTATTTATCAGCAACACATTACAATTGTTTAATCTTATAAATTTAAACCAATAATTCAATAGAACAATAATTAAATAGAAGTTTAATATAAATAGAGCTGTTTAATTTTAAAACTACACTATAAAAAAAGGATTTTTCTTTATGTCATTATTTAACATTACATTTTAGATTCTGAACGGAATGATAAATGTATAGATTTTACAATGATGTGTGTTATTTTTTTTGTGTGTCTGTGTCAGGATAACTAGTCGAAATAATGTTTCAATTTCAAACTTTGGGGGTGGTTCCCGATGGAAAAGTTAATATTATTGGTGCATTTTAAAGGACAACAGTAAAAAATGTCCAACAGTTTTCAAAAAAATCAAGAAAAACAAAAAAAAAAGTGACAGAAAAATTGGAATTTTTACGCAAAATCAGTTTTCGACCACATCGATTTTTTTATATGGTTGTAATTCAAAAACTAATCACTGTAAATACTTGAAAATTTTCACCAAAT